CGTTCTACCCATGGTCATGTGGTTTTTCCCTCAACATTTAGAAACGTGTGTTTAGAGTATTTGGCTGCTGCAAAACATTTCCACGTGATAAGCCACTTCTTTCAGCTATCATGTGTGACTTCTGAAAAAGAGATAATAGCTGAGTGAGCCTTACCTGGTAAAATAACGTTTCTTTCATCGTTTTCTTTATGCTTTTGCTACTCAAACTAAAGAAGACACCGAAAAACAGCCTCTGTAAATATTCCCACCAGATAGATGGACACAAAAGGAAGCGACCTTTCACGAAGTCAAAGTGAGAATACTGACTTCAGGACACTTTGACCAAAAAGACAGGAGAAAGTGTTTCCCCTGCTCACTGAGAGAGCGTTCATCTCTGTTGACGACCCCAGCCAGCAGAGGAAATTCCACATTCCTGTGACAAGCGACAATCTATCCTAAAGGCAGCCAATGCAATTGGTAAATTAACAATCCATCTTTTTAAATCAAAACCGTACAGCACTGTAATCATTATCGTTTCCAAATGTATTATAATTATATGCACTAGCGTATTTATGTCATTGTACTAATATTAAAATCCACATTGAATTTTACGTACAGTGATAGTTATGAAATGCATGCACACATTCTATTAATCAGTTTACACAATAGATTTTAAACTGTGGTGCATTGAAATATCTTTGTGGGACATCGTCATTTAAGCTAAAAGGTTTTCACTCAACTTACTTTCTTTACAGACCTGTTCACAACTATAAATGTTTACATATCTCTTGATATTATATATTGGCAACATCTCACATATTAAGTAATCGGTTTACCTGATTAACCGGCTGATTGGTGAAAAAAACTCCAATAATAATAATAATATCTATGGGACCTTTTTGACAGTTTCAAAAGGTAGAACAGAAAGAAAGTTTCATCATTGAACTAATAATGTAAAGAAAGGAACTGGCCAGCACAGCCCCTTGTGAAAAATAACCTTGAGACTCTACAAATGCTCTCCCGTGTAAACAAAATGTGCTTAGTACTGTACCCAATGAAACAGCTGTTGAATTGGCTGGGTGACAGTGGTTAGCGCACCCAACTCAATTATAAAGTTCCAATGCCTGGTTCGGTCGTCACCTCAAACCCATCATTCCTAGCCAGGATCGATACCAAAAAAGATTAGGAGCAATTTTTGGAAACTCGACAATGGTTGACTAGAATAGAGAATGGTTGGTCTCACGGGAATGTGGAATATGCACCACCTGTTCTGGACCCAGATGGAGTCCCACTTTGCCCCATGCAGATCCAACACACAAATCAACACGTTAACCACACAAAAAACTGTCAAACGGAGAGAAGAAGCAGTCAACCCACAAGCGCGCCTTTAGCTAAAGCAAGTATTCATCAAACAACCACCTACCTCCTGCATGTGTGTGTCTATGTTGAACTTCTTTCGCACCGTACGTAGCCAACCGTGCTAATCGGAGGTACGGGGGAAGGACAACAAAACTAAACACAAATATATCTATTCTGAAGAAATTAGTTTTCAATGTCGACTATGTAAAAGTGCCTCGGCTTCCAGCGGTTTCCTAATATCGGAAAGAAGAGCGTTCCAGACGGCCGCAGAAGCGCATTCAAAAGCGCCGCGCGATGAGGTGACCGTCACACTCCTGAGAGTGGCATCGCACTTGTCTGTCAAGACTATCTCCACCGTCACTCGGTGTGCAGACGTTAACATCGCTTTACCTCCTCTCCTCCCGGTACACTTTGACGCTCGGCATGGCATGTTTGGCAAAACAAAAACCGTGCGTGCCTGTGCATGGTGTTAACACACTCGTATGTGTGTGTGTATGTTGAACTTCTTTCGCACCGTACGGAGCAAACCCGTGCTAATCGAAGACGCACTTGCTGCATGTTCAAAGCATTGCGGGCCGTGTTGGTGTATCACAAATCCCCGAATGTGCTGTGCGAGCTGCCCAAATTGTACGGCTACAATAAGGCGATCAAAACAAGGTGGTTCAGAAAGCAAGTCGTCAACCAAACTCTTCCCATGTGTTGTCTTCTCCCTCTGCAACACGAATCGCGTGGGGCTGTTGGAGTCACTCCACCACACTGATTAACGAACATAGTTGTTCGTTTACAAACTTATATACGCAAAGTGCCTCCCTAATCGCAAAAAAAACAATGGGGTAGGTAACTCATCTACATTGACAGCCACGAGCCAGTGGTGCAAATTCCACATTCCTATGGTGGGGGTCAGTCTATGTTCAGTATTAGATTATGTAAATTATGTAACGTTTTTATCCGACTACTCAGATTGTAAATGTTGTGTGGATTTCCTCTCCAACACACAACCGGTGTGCTGCACTAGTAAACGAATTGGCATGTTCTGTTTACGTGACTAAATCCCTTACCGCTTTGGCTCTGTCGTATGGTGGCGAGTTTAACGACACACAATTTACGCGATCTAACCAAAAGAAACCCTCTATTGTGAATCACACAAGCCGCGTAGGCGTTCAAACGACACCGCCTAATGACAACGAGAGAATAAACACTGCGATTATTACGCATCGTTTAAAAGACAGAAGACCATTTTTTTATCGTCTCAATCACTTCCTGGCGAACCACCCCCGCCCAAACCCCGACCTCGCCTAGATTCCTGCCCAGCGAGGGTGCACCCAACCCCGGGTCGGTTACTAGGCCGCGGCGGTGGGTGTGGGACGGGCGACATTGCAGCACGGAGAATAAAAACTTAGTCGTGTTCGTAAGGGACCAAAGCACAGATTGTAGTTTAAGTTCACAGTTTATTTGCGCGACATCACTACTCTATAAGCAGCTGCGTGAAACTACTAAGCGCTCTTTGTTTTAAGGAACGCGTATCCTATTGTGCGAGTGTGCTCCTTGTAGTCTTAGAAGCGAGGCGTCGGTATAGATGCCTCCTCACTCGCCCACTACAATGTCTAAATCTTCCGACGTTACAGCGCACCGAGGAGAATTCTCACGTCGTAAAATCAGTTCACCGACTAAGCGACGATTATAACATTAATATATACAGTGTAATCTATGAACAGTACAATACATACGAGCCCGTCCTTCCTGACTGAGCGTTGAGGTTAAAAACAAGCTGATGCGCCCTTCAATGTCTAGCTTGCGCGGCATAGCGTGCACCCACGAGACCCCTTCTCAAAGGGGTCTCGTTTTGGCCTACTCTTCCACGTTTTGGCCTACTCTTCCACGTTTTGGCCTACTCTTCCACGTTTTGGCCTACTCTTCCACGTTTTGGCCTACTCTTCCACGTTTTGGCCTACTCTTCCACCCTCACCAAACGTCTCGAAAGACAGAGGGTGGGAGTGAACCACACTCTACCTCGCCACACGCGACATTGCCCACCGATTGCGGCTAGACAGCTGCACTATTGTTTCACGTGCCCTCGAGATCGAACGAACGACTTAAGTCATAAACAGGGTGTTAGGGAAAGGAATCGGAGTATTGTACCTTAATTATACTTAATTGCGCTATCACATGGGCCACAACAAAGATGTGAGGGCAAAGCAATTGAGTTTATGATTACAGAAATTATCAGCGATTTCATCAATTGTAGTATCATTAAATGCATAATTCACTGTGCTGTATTGCGTGTTTAAAATCAGTACGGCAAATACTTATTCGAAATACTGTACCAATAACCATGTCCGCACAATCACTAAATCGTGTTAAAAAGGTATAAACTCAACACACGGTCCAATTGTAATTATTTCACACAGTTAAATTGACATAACACGCTCACCCATTTTTGCTTTTACAAATCAAACAGCGTCAACGCGAAAATAATACAATATTAAAATTACAAAGTTCCCTTTAAATGCCTCCTGGTCGCGCCACTAACCCAACCTCGCCTAGATTCCTGCCCAAAGAAGGTGCACCCTCCCTGGGTGGCTCACAAGGCCGCAAAGGGTTGAAAGGGAAACGGTGGGAAACAATACGTTTCAAGTATTACTCGGTGTACACGTGTGTTCAGGCAACAAAGTACTTTTATACATCACACACGCGGTACACAACACAGCATAATGCACGATATAGCACACACGTACACTGCAGTGCACAGCCTAAGATTACTGATATCACACAGAGTATTATACAGCGAGTAGAATACGGGATATATCACAACATGCAGTGCACACACGCGTACTCGTGTCGACGAATCAGTAGAGTACTGTGTACCACGTGCAATGCACAGCTGAGTGGAGTATCATATATAATACACAGCTCCGTAATGAATATACCACACATGCTTACAGCACTAGAGTACACAACCGTAATGAATATACCACACATGCTTACAGCACTAGAGTACACAACCATAATGAATATACCACACATACTTACAGTATTAGAGTACACAGCCGAAATGAATATACCACACATACAGTACTAGAGTACACAGCCGTAATGAATATACCACACATACAGTACTAGAGTACACAGCCGTAATGGATATACCACATATGCTTACAGTAGTAGAGTACACAGCCGAGAAGATTCATATATACTGTGTACCACACAGCCCAGAAGATAACTGCGAGCACCGCACACCAAGTCCATAGACTTAGTAGAGTACATAGGCCAGTACTGTATACATCACACGTGAAGTATGGTCCCCAACAGAGTTTCTGCACCCCGCACACCTGCAGTACACACTCGTGCACAAATGTAAAGTACGCAGCCCAGGAGCAGTGCCGTAGTTGAGACATGCAGCAGAGAGCCCAGTACAGTACTGTCTGCACCACACGCGCAGTACACACACGCGCGCGCACAGCCGTACACTCGAGTACACAGCCCAGCGGAGGACACACGCGCGACGCATACATAATCCGCAGGGGCCAGAGCGCATAGGGAGCCTCTTGCGAGAGCCATGGGGCCCGGAGAGGAAACAACAGCCGAGGCGGACAGCCCCGAACGCACGACGCCTAGTCGTGCGAGTTTACCCTCCCCTCTCTCCCCTCGCAACGCTCACTCACCGCTGCTGTCGCCGACGACGGCGATGATGATGACGACGATGATGATGGTGATGATGGCGATGATGATGGTGGTCGAAGCGATGGAGAGTGGCTTCCCCTAGCCGACGACAATGTCGTTGTTGTCGCCACCGCCTCCCAGCGCCTCGGGTCTCGGGTTCCTCCCTCCCGTCTCTGCCTCCCGTATAACCACGAGTCCCCGCCCGCCCGCCCCAATCCTCTCGGCTCGCTCCCTCCCCGTCCCAGCCCCCCGACTTTCTCGCTCGGCCTCCTCCTTCCGCTCCGAGCGCCCTGCGCGCCACGGGTTTCCTGGTGGGGTGGGGGAGGGCGAGGTCGGGAGGAGGGGAAAGTGGGCGGTGACGATTTCTGGGCGGGGGCTACAAGGTCGTGGGGCGGGGCCACGATGTGAAGGGGGGGCCCACGAGGTTGTGGGGCGGGGCCACGAGGTGAAGGGGGGGCACGAGGTTGTGGGGCGGGGCCACGAGGTGCAGGGGGGCGTGGCCATCCACGTGGGGGTCCACGTGCGCGCGTGGGATTTAATTATTATTGCCGTCATTCATAATACTGTAATAACAAACCTCAACACAACTAAAACTATTAATATTCTTTGGTTCTTTCGGTAAAGTCAGGTAGATTTAAAAAAATAAAAGACAAAAAACCACGACGTTTCGATCGCAACACATCAGGGAATTGTTTTTCTATCTACGTGACTTTACCGAAAGAACCAAAGAATATGAATTCCTGCAGTCACGAAAGCTTTAAGTCAAAATAAAACTATTTTTTTATTTTACCAGGTTAGGCCCACTGAGCTATATATAGCTATTTTTCAGAAGCGACCTGGCTATTACGAATGATAGCTCAACAAAGTGGCTTATCGAGTAGACATTTGTCGCAGCCAATTAATTATTACTCTTAAACACGCAATGTTGATTATAAATATGGAGGGGAAACACCGGAGGACCCGGAGAGAAATCCACTCGAACACGGGGAGAGAGAGGTCGTGGTCGAACCCATGGCCTCCTGTAAACATGGCAAGGAAGATAACATCGAGCCACCGTGGTGGGCCCAAATTCGTCAAGCGCAAACACAATTCATCAAGAGCACCGTGGCCTTGAACGAAAAATAGTATAAGAAATGTTCATTAAGGGTTTGAGCCAGCTGGCCAGGCTTAGCCAAAAACCTATCCCACTTTTCACCCGAGCAACAGACGAAAGTGTTCCTAACCTAACATTTAAACTTAACAGTAACATTAAAACTTCCAATAACAGCAATGGTCCTTCGTATGCTATTAATTGGGCGTTATAAAGGGTCATGGCCCGAAACGTCGCCTTATACGCAGGGGCGGAGCCAGGGGGGGTGACAGGGGTGACATTCTGCGTATAAGTGTACGGCACTCGGTCTAGCGGACTCCGTGCAACTGCATTGTCAGAGTGTGTCGCCAACCGATGGCGTCTAGTTCAACAGCCTGACTCTCTAATCATTCTTGAAATTAAAATTTGTTGAATGTCACCCCGGCCTGAAATCCTGGCTCCGCCCGTGCTTATACGTTTACTTGTAAGACCGCAGTGTTAATTGGCAAATGCGTTGCGGTGTTTTCCCTTGTATTTAATTGTGCTTTGTGCACCGCTGCCAACGCAGCAGCAGCGTTACCAGACAATTTGAATAACAATGCAGTGCGGCTCGGTGTAGTGCTTCACGAGCCTCTGCCGCCGAGTAAATGTGAGTTGGAGCCCAGACAAGGAGGTGACGTGATTGTTGCTGAACGCGTGCGCGGCGTTTGCCGGCGGGTTCATAGTTCCATTTATTTGGTATAGCCCTGTGAGCCATTCGGCTCTTGAATCGGGTGCAACCGCAACAAACAAAAAACATGAACACGAAAACATCTTAAAGTGACTGTGTGACCGTGCAAACAGAAAATCCAGGAAAAAAAACATCAAAATATTCCTGAAATAGCACCGTACACCAACGCTGTGTGCAAAAATCCCAGTGGGATGCAAGTCAAACAACAACAACCACAAGACAACTAAGATTAAGGCCATCAGTCTAACTCCGTACTACAATAAACAAAAACATGGCCAAACCAAAACACTTTTCGAAATCACCCAAATAAAGCCATAAATGCAATGTAACAGTGATCATAGGGACTGTGACCGATTTTTTTGCAATAAACTACATAAATAACATGTAACACCAAACCCTAGAGCCATAGCTGGCTGCATGAGTCACTCCACAACAACAGGAGCATCAGTCGGAGTATCACATTTTTCAATGTACCTTTAAGATCAGCACACTAAATCAAAATACAGATAATACTTTCCAGCGGTCATCCGGAGCGAAACATTTTATTTTATTTTAGGCCACTGAATAGCAGTGGCAGCTAGGAGTGTACAACTCCTCTAGAGCAGTTTTGAGTGAAGATCTCATAGGTAGTGATTCAAGTTGCAGTTTATTGGCAATAGCATTCCAGAACCTGGGGGCATCAATAGCAAAGGCCCTTCCTCCGTTTTTTGTACGGCAATAGGGAATGTGAAGCTGGTAAATGAGCGAAGATCTGAGGTCAAATTTGTTCTTTGAAACAGAGAGGAGATCCAGCAGGTAGTCTGCGGATTTGTTTTTTTGAAAGAGATGCACGCTCGAAGTTACTCAAACTAAACTAAGCCTGTGCTGGCTTGCGGTTAACGAACGAATTAATGATAAGGTCGCACTCGTTACACACACAAAGTGCTTGCCATGAATGTACAGCTGGTCTCGTCAAGTAGCATAAATCATCATCAAGCGAAATCGGCGTTTGGCTGACCATCGAACAAAGACGGTCACCGCATCGCGCTTTCTGCGGCCGTCAGGAACGCTCTTCCTTCCGATATTAGAAAGCCACTGAAGCTTATGCACTTTTAAATCATCTAGATTGACAAACTCATTTTTTTAGAACTGCACCTCCGATCAGCGCGGTTGGCTATGCACGGTGCGAGAGAAGTTCAACGTACGTACGATGTCACAGACGAGCGGGAAGGCGGAAGCAGCAGCAGTAGCCAAGCGTTGAATCGACACCAATTTCTGCCCCCCACGTAACCGCCCAATCTCTGTGATCTTCCGTCTACAAAGGCGTAGTCGGTCAATTGATGCGTCGCGAGAGCAGGAATGTTTTTTGCGCCCGGAAGGAAAAAAGAACGCACGAGTTAGAGGACAGCACTCGATCCCGTGCACATGAAACGGTGTCCGTATTCACGCTGCGCCACCTTCACCTGGCATAGCCAGGGCACGGCTCCTCCTCGACGTCCACGGGAAGGGAGTGTCACACACAGCCTCTGCTGTGTGTGACCCGCCAACCCTCGCCGCTAACTTCACAGTGCCGGGTTGTGTGGAGATAAGCCACTTTATAATAGAGGGGTTTTTTTTGTTAGATCGCTTAAATACGCGTAAATACGCGATCTAACCAAAAAAAAATTGATTATAGATTACGTGTTAAAATAAGCCACTTTGTTGAGCTGTCATTTGTGGCCAGTTCGCTTCTGAAAAGAGCTACATTGCTCAGTGGGCCTTACCTGGTAGAAAAAAAAAACTTAGAAAGTTAATTGTTTCATTTAGCTGCCCGGCTCTGATCACTCCACTGATGGAAACAGTTCAAGTTGGTTTTATGTAACCAGCTGAGAGGAAAGCAGAATCGAGTCTCATTTTCATGAGTGACGAAAATGACAAAAGCAAAGCGATCAAGTCCACTGCTGGATGAAGGCCTCCCCACGCCGCGTCGGGTCACGGGAATTGGTGTGCGGGTGGAGGTTCGGAGGCGAGTTGCGGACCGATTCAGGCGTCCCTCGCACACCGATGCGATGCGTGACCGGGAGTTCAACTCAGGGGGCCGAGTTCGCGGTGCGATGCGCTGTGGTCTCCTTGCTGCTGTTCTCGCCGTGAAGCCGCCCCATCCACCCATCGCTACCAAAGACAAAGATCCCCCACCCCGGAGAGCCTTAACAGACTGCTTGGGCAAATGCTGTTAGCCAGGAGTCGAGCCAGTGCCGGACTATCCTAGTAGCAAAAGCAGCTACATATTTAGTACTACATATGTAGAAGTACATATGAAGTATGTAGCTACTACATATGTAGTATGTAGCTACTACATATGTAGTAGTTACGGGCCCCGCACTTTCAAGGGACCCGCACTAAATGCTTTCAAGCTATCAATTCCCGTTCAGTGATTCTGCACTTGCTCTATGACTATAGTACTATACCGCCTTCAACTTTTTCGAACGAGTGGGTGTTTACGGTTAGCGGTTTGTCGTATTATCTGGCTGTATAGCAAATAAAAAATAAACAATTTATTTACTATGCAAGGTAAAAAATATATGTTTTAATATTTAAGTGTGTTTTTTTTTAGGGTCCCTTTATAACATATGCTACAGGCCGGCACTAGCTTAATCCGGCACTGAGTTTAGCACCAAATGAAGGCCTGCACAGTGGCACGCGAGGGGGTGGGTGGCCAGCACCATGCCCGGCCGCCTTTGCCTCCTCCTGCTGCACACGCACTCCGACCCCTTCTACAGTCTATACCACTACCCCGATACACGCAGAGCCGTCCCTTGGCGTACGGCGAATCGAGGCGACCGCTCCGGGCCCCACGCATCCCCCCCTCCCCACCTATGGACGGCCTTGCGGCCACGCATGTCACGTCTCGCGGATTGCCATCCCTGAAAGTCGTGGGATTTTACAATGTCCGTTGTCTCAGGGTTGCGTTTCCCTCTGTGATGACGTTCACATACCGTGTCAACCCATACGGTGTATCCCCTATTCTTGTACAGGGAAAATGAGTTTTCAGGTCCATACGGCGTGCAGCCGTTTCAATACGGGAAAACACAAAACATATTTTGTCTATTTGTTTGTGTTTCCCCCTTGTGATAGGACTTTGTAGGGTGAACGTTGAGATTTATAAGGGCCACGGGGTGACCGATAAGGTGTGAATTGGTCTGTAATAAGGTAGGGCACTGATAAGGGATTAATAGGTATGCGTTTAATTGAATTGTCAAATCGCAGGATCGTGAAAGATTTTGGTGGATTGGGGGAGCCCTTCATCTCGCTAGTGATTTGACCGTGGCTGACGACGATGATGACACGCACATAGGTGAGACTCAAACTGCGTTGAGATGGCACCCGCCATGACTCGGGATCAAACCTGGTATGGCATCGTACCCTAGTGCTTTAACCAGTGCGCCCACCGCTCCCCGCAGTACAGGGCCAATCG